TCACTTCAATCATTCCTTGCTAAAATTTTTGAAATTGTCTTTAAATCTGACTTTATAGTAAGACCCAAAAATATGACACTATTGGAAGAAAACACTGGAAAAAAATTGTGCAACATTGGTCGGGTCAATGACTTTTTGAATATGACCCCAAAAGTACAGGCAACAAAAGCAAAAGTAGACAAACGGGATTACATCAAACTAAAGAGTTTATGCACAGCAAAGAAAACAATCAACAGAGTGACAAGACAATGTATGGAACAGGAGAAAATATACGCAAACCACACATCTCACAAGGAGTTAATATCTAAAATAAATATAAGAAACTCAAACAATTCAATACCAAGAGAACAAATAACCTGATTAAACATGAGCAGGCCAGGTGGGGTGGCTCACGCCTGTAATCCTAGCACTCTGGGAGGCCGAGGCGGGCAGATTGCTTGAGGTCTGGAGTTCGAAATCAACCTGAGCAAGAGCGAGACCCCGTCTCTACTATAAATAGAAAGAAATTAATTGGCCAACTAATATATATAGAAAAAATTAGCTGGGCATGGTGGCGCATGCCTGTAGTCCCAGCTACTCAGGAGGCTGAGGCAGGAGGACTGGTTGAGCCCAGAAGTTTAAGGTTGCTGTGAGCTAGGCTGCTGCCATGTCACTCACTCTAGCCTGGGCAACAAAGTGAGACCCTGTCTCAAAAAAACAAAAAACAAACAAAAAACACACAAACACACACAAAAAAACCAATCTGTGCTTGAACAAGAAAAATAAATTAAAAATAAATGAGCAAAGGACCTGAACAGACATTTCTCAAAAGAGAATATACAAATGGCCAAAAAATATATGAAAAAAAATTTCAACATTTTTCATCAGGAAAATGAGAATTAAAACCACAGGGAGACATTGCCTCACACCTATTAGAATGGCTATTATCAAAAAGACAAAAGATAACAAGGGTTGGTGGGTATGTAGAGAAAAGGGAACTCTTACATCCTGTTGGTGGTAATATAAATTAGTATAGCCATTATGCAAAATAGTATGGAGAGTCCTCAAAAAATTAAAAATAGAATCAAGCAATCCTGAGTGTGTGTGTGTGTGTATACATATCAAAAGGAAATTAAATCAGATCTCACTCCCATGTTTATGGCAGTACTATTCACAATAGACATTTATGGACTCAACCTAAGTGTCTACCAATGAATTAATAGATAAAGAAAATGTGGTATATATACACAATGGAATACTATTCAGCCATAAAAAAGAATAAAATCCTATTATTTGCAACAACATGGATGAAACTGGAGGACATTATTATGCTAAGTGTAGTAAGCCAGGCACAGAAAGTCAAATACTATATGTTTTCACTCATATGTGGAATCTAAAAAAGTTGATCTCACAGAAATAGTGAATAGAACAAAGGTTACCAGAGACTGAGGATGAGGGGATGAGGTTACGGAGAAAGGATGGTAAAAGGGTACAAAGTTATAATTAAAATGCAAGCATATGTTTGGTATCCTATAGCATGGTAGGGTGACTACAGTCAATAGTATGGTATTTTGTATCTCAAAATAACTAGAAGAGATGATTTTCTATGTTCTTACCACAAAGAAATGATTAATGTTTGAGCTGATAGATAAGCTAATTACTTCGATTTGATCATTACACAATGTATACATGTATTGAAATATCATACTACCCCCAAATATGTATAATTTTGTATCAATTAGAAGTTAAAATTAATTAATTAAAAAGTGCTCATGGGCTGGGCAAGGTGGCTCAGTCCTGTAATCCCAGCACTTTGGGAGGTTGAGGCAGGAGGATCACTTGAGCCAGGGAGTTAGAGACAAGCCTGGGCAACAGTGAGACACCATCTCTGCAAAAATTTTTAAAAATTAGCCGGGTATGGTGGTGCATGCCTGTAGTCCCAGCTACTTTGGAGGATGAGACAGGAAGATAACCTGTACCCAAAAGTTTGAGTTCACCGTGAGCTATGATGGTGCCACTGCACTCTAGACCAAGTAACAGAGCTAGACCTTGTCTCAGAACAAAAAAAAAGAAAGGGAAAAATGTGGCATTTAAGGAATATCAGGGGCACAGTGGCCAATACCTTGACATGTTGCTACTCTCTGTAGACCTTATATTTGAGACACACAGACACACATCACTCAAATATATAACCCAAATTTGGGTTGTTGGTCAAAGGATACAAAATTTCAGTTAGACAGGAGGAATAATTTCCAAAAATCTATTGTACAAAATAGTGACTATAGTTAATAATATGTTGTATTATTTTTCTTTTATGGGTATATAATATTTTACATATTTATACATTTTACATATGTGAATATTTTTACATGTACTAAATGTATAATGATCAAGTTGGGGTATCTGAGGTATCCATTATCATTTTATGTATTGGTTACACTTCAAGTCTTCTAACTACTTTGTGGTATACAATATATGGTTGCTAACTATAGTCAACCCTAGTCTGCTATGAAACATTAGAACCATGTTCTTGAAAAATGCTAAAAGCGTGGATATAAAGTGTTCTCACCACAAAAATGGTAATGTATATGTTAATTAGCTAGAACTAGTCATTTCACAATGTATATATACTTTATAACATCATGTTGTACATGGGAAATACATACTATTTTATCTGCCAATGTAAAAATAAAATAAAACAAAAATTTTAAGTGTCTCTTATGAAAAGGAATAATATCTTTTTAAACAAAAAACAGACTGGGGCACAGTGGCTCACACCTGTAATCCCAGCACTTTGGCAGACCAAGGAAGGAGGCTCCTTTGAGGCCAGGAGTTCAAGCTGGGGGTGGTCATGTACACCTGTAGCCCCAGCTACTACAGGAGGATCACTTGAGCCCAGGAGTTGGAGGTTGTAGTAAGCTATGATCACTCCATTTCACTCCAGTCTGGGCAACAGAGGAGACCTTGTCTCAAAATTAAAATTAAATTAAATTAAAACAAATTAAATTAGCTGAATTGCAAACCAACCACCTTACATATAGAATGACAAGTTTTATTTGGAAATATAAATGGTGCTGTGTTTGCTCAAATATTAGTTGCATGAATTCACAGTAATAACGACCAACATTATGTAGTGCTTTCTATAGCCCTAAAGTAATCCTGTGAAATTAATCAGATATAATAAAAGAAAACGTCCTTGATCTCTGTTCTTTTCCCCTTCCCACTGGCTTACGTGATTCTGGAAGCTGGGTAGAAGATAGCAGAGCCCTATCAGCCTGGGCCCTTGAATGTGTAGAGCAGAGCGACCTACCATTGTGAATTGTGCACCTGGTAGTTTTTACGTGCGCTAGAAGTAAACTTCTTTTTGTCCTTTAAACCATATTAGTTAGAGATCTCTCATTAAAACAACATCATCGTTTACCCTCTCTTTCTGAATCCATCCCTGCCATTTATATACCATTTGTTATTACTCTGTCCAGTAAACCATGAGGCGGGCAACCCAATGTCTGTCTCAGTCTTTGTAAGTGATTTGATTCAGTTGGTGTTTCTTGTAGTTTTTTTCACTGCTATTCAATAGATTACTTCCCTCTGTTGGTTCATTTCCATCTACACCTTTGAGGCTCATAGTTGACTCCTCCTATATTTAAAGCAATTTTTAAAATCCTTAAAACTATATATTTGCAACACTGTTTAATAGTTACTGAGTCATCACATTACAATTCAAATTTCCATTACTAACATCAAGGATAGTACTTTATAAGGAAAATGCATAATTTTATTATTAGCTATTCAGCTAGTGCTTGGAACAAAAATTATGTTAGGAGTATTTAGCACGGTCACTATTTTTAGTACAGGTTAAGCATCTCTAATTTGAAAATCTATAATCCAAAATGTTCCAAGATCTGAAACTTTTTGAGCACCAATATGATGTCACAAGTGGAACATTCCATACCAGACCTCACGTGACCGGTCAGAGTCAAAATGTAACTTCGTTTTGTGTATACAATTATTAAAAATATTGCATAAAATTACCTTCAGGCTATAAGGTATATATGAAACATAAATGGATTTGATGTTTAGACTTGAGTCCCATCCCTAAGATATCTCATTATATATATGCAAATATTCCAAAATCCAAAAAAATATGAAATCTGAAACACTTTTTATCCCAAGCATTTCAGATAAGGTACCATTTCAGATAAGGTACCTTCAACCTGTATTATAAATGCTTGTGTGACATAAAATTTCATTATGTTTTGTAATACTGACTTTAAAAATCAGCATATTTAACATATAATTCAGGACAATAGTTGGCACATATACCAAAGTGGTTCAGGGCTGGGCATAGTGGCTCACGCCTGTCATCCTAGCACTCTGGGAGGCCGAGGCGGGAAGATCGCTCGAAGTCAGGAGTTTGAAACTAGCCTGAGCAAGAGCGAGACCCTGTCTCTACTATAAATAGAAAGAAATTAATTGGCCAACTAATATATATAGAAAAAATTAGCCGGGCATGGTGGCGCATGCCTGTAGTCCCAGCTACTCGGGAGGCCGAGGCAGGAGGATTGCTTGAGTCCAGGAGTTTGAAGTCGCTGTGAGCTAGGCTGACACCATGGCACTCTAGCCTGGGCAACAGAGTGAGACTCTGTCTCAAAAAAACCCAAAAGAGTGGTTCAGAAAAAGATAACTAATTGTGATGAAAACCAATTCACATTCATTCATCTACTTGAATTTAAGCAATGCAGAGAGAAGGGAGAAACCAAAATCAAGGGATTAGGCCAGGAACACAAAGCATTTTAATCTTTCCAGTCTCAGATAGGGCCAGCTGGTAATGTCATTAGCTGGGAAAACTGGTAGTCACACATTCCCTGGACTGTATGAGTTTGGAGATTAAGAATGGGGTGAATTGTTAATTGAAAGGTCGAAAATGAAAACACAATTCTATCACAGCTTGAAAATACATAGTTGCTTCCTTAAAGAAATGACTGGGATGTTATTTAATACATATTTGATTATAGATTTACCTGTGTTTCTTGATGCACAGAGGCTGTGTGATTCATCCCTGTGGTTGGTTCTGAATCTTCACATTCAACTGCTTTGTCTTCATCCCTCATGATTTATAATTAAGAAGATGATGATGGAAGGAAGAGGAACAAGATCTGTTTTGAAGGAGAAACAGTATAGACATAGAGCAACAATTTGAAAATCTTTGGATTTCAAAGATTTTGGACTATATAATTCCTTCTCTTAGAACTCTGCATGGCTAAAATATTTTCAATTAGACTATTCTTAACCTTCAATTGCTGATCCTTCCATTCCAATATACTATCCTCATTCTTATTTACCTTTTTACCTCTCTTGAAAAAAAGCCTTTGTTGATTAATCACATTTTTATGATTTTTTCCCATCCTGTTTTCTGAGTTATACTTGAAAATATGCCAAGCAATATCACCATTAAACTGTCCTCTTTAATGGGCCAACTTGAAGAAGCAGGAAGGTTCCAGGTAATTTTCCAATGTTGGTATGAGGGCTGAGTCACTGAAGGGAAATCTCTGGATTCTATGATTTTCAAAGAAACCAGAGTCATTAATTCCTGCCTGGTTCTTATATGTAAAGTTAAAAACTACAACAGCATTGACTGAGTAGCCAGAATGTCTTAGAAACTACAATCGGGGTGGTTGCTTGCTAGTCATTGTGAGCAAATCAAAGATTACCAAAACACATTCCTTGTCTTTCATAGGTTTACAGTATACCAAGAAAGGTAAAATTATACCAAGTAACTAAAACGCCTGTGAGACAGATAGGTCAGCTCAATAAACACCTACTTTAATCTCCTCCCCCGTGGTTTTCTATGCCACAGAGGCTCTCTGTTTCCTAGTCACTTCTGCAGCTACCGGTGGCCGTATGTCACAGTTTTATGTATGAGACACAAGAGGGAGTCCCTGAGGAGGCCTTTAGAGGATCATACTTTCTACTCTTTGCCCGCTAATATTTCCTTTTCTCCTTCCTAGAATGTACTGTGCTTCCCCGAAAATAAGACAGGGTCTTATATTTATTTTTCCTCAAGAAGACACCCTAGTGCTTATTTTCAGGGGACGTGTTATTTTCCCCTCAAAGCCTCAGCTTGCAGCACGCACAGGGTGGCCGGGACCTGACGGGAGCCGACCTTGTTGGTGGGGCCGCCGCACCTTGGTCACCTCCGGGGTAGCAGCTCTCAGGGGCGGATGAGAAGGGCTCCCGGGTTCTTTCCCGCCCGCGAGGACACGCACGGGCTGTGCAGCTGCGCTGCAGCCACGCCCGCCACCAGGGCTGATTTCCGGGTAGGGATTCTATCGCGCACGTGCTCAGACCTCCTGCTGGGGCTTATTTTATGGGCAGGGCTTATTTTCCGGGAAACACGGTAGATACCATGTCTGGAGGGCCGGCAGCCATCTTTCAACCATGAGAATAAAAGTCCTGTGCTTAATAAAAAAAAAAAAAAAAAAAGTCCTGTGCTTAGGATAGCAGATAAGTGAGACAGGAGAAGCTGATTCCTTGATGACATCCTCACATTGCTCCATTAGTCTTGGTCTGCCAAGCTTTGAAGTAATTGTTTAAACCCTTCTTAGTCAACTTTTTCCTTTTTACTAGTAAGTAAACTTATTCCTAATACAAGTGCAATGAGCAGTATGATAGAGTACAAACTACAAACTGTGGTAGAACCAAAGAAAAATTGTGAGAGAAAGGTAAAATTTAATACAACACATTTGTGAGTGCCTAATATGTGCCAGGCACTGTACTAGGCCATAAAGACATGGATGAATTGTTTAATAGATACGACCCCTGCTTCAATCAATCATTTTCTCAGTTCAACAAAGTGGTAAAAAGTTCGCATTTAAAATTGCAAAGAACATCAAAATCTTTCCACCAGGACTACCACCTCCACCACCACCACCATTTTTCTTCCTTACAAAACACAATGACAAACAGAATGGCATCTTAGAAAACCTTCGGTTTAGACTGGGTACAGTGGCTCACGCCTGTAATCCCAGCACTTCAGGAGTCCAAGGCAAGAGACTCACTTGAGGCCAAGAGTTCGATCAAGCTCAGCCTAGGCAACATAGCAGGACCCCATCTCTACAAAAAAATTAAAAAATTACCCAGGGGTGGCGGCATGCACCTCCCAACTACTCGGGAGGCTGAGTTGGGAGGATCATTTGAGCCCAGAACTTCAAGGTTACAGTGAGCCATGATCATGCCACTGCACTCCAACCTGTGTGACATGGCAAGACTCTGTCTTGAAAAAAATGAAACAAAAAAACCCTTCAGTTTAGTCTTTATTATATCTGATTTATAATAAATATGTTTATTTATTGATATATGTGCGTATGTGTGTATGTATGTAATTCTTAAATTTAAAAATCTTACTCTAAAATTTAGACTGCTAATGAGAAAGGAAGTCATTTTGACAGGAAAATGTTGGGCTTGGAGAATACTCGTCCTAAAGGCAAGGAGACGCAACAGCCAGCTGAGCATAAAGGGAACTTTGCTGCAGCCGGAGGCAGGAGGCTGAGAGAAACGGAGGCCAGGTGGGAGAGTCTGGATGTCACATCCTGCACCATGGCACTGGGTCTTCACCTTCCGAAGAGAACAACCCCTAGTAGCATGGTGACAAGACCTGCTGGCACCAGACTTGGATAAACCTGGTTCCAAAATCCAGCTCTGCCATATACTATTGCTTGCCCTCTTTGTGACAAATTCCTTATCCACGAAACAGTGACAAGAATAGTTCTAACTATGCAGATGGTAAGCATTCAGTAGTGTTGGTGACTGTTAGCCACTCATATTCCTTCTCCCTGATAACCATAAATCTCTAAGAATCTTCTTGCTTTTCTTATTACACAGGACAAGGTCTCTTCAATTTTGAAGAATTCACTACTTTAATCTCATTGATTTTACTTCATTTTTAACCTCCTTCTTTCAAGGCCCACTTCTTGGGTAGGTGGATGTGACACTTACCATTGTCATTTCTTTATCTTTCTTATTAGGAGAATTACATAGAAATTCTTAGGCAGTGTCACTAGAATCACTTCTTTATCAAATTCTCAAAATCAGCTAATTCTGCCACATATAAAGAATATTTTTAAATAGTAACCAAGTATAAATGGTTATTCCTAGGAAACATAAACTATTGGTATAAATGAACTCTTCGAGAACTTATTTTATTAATGTTACTATGGTCCTTTTAAACATAAACAACCAAAACTTGGCATGTGGCACAATATATGCTATCTGTGGAGATTTATCTAGTTTTGTGTTCCAGAAAAACTTCCCCATTCTCCCATAATCTCCAGGATGGATGCCAAAGTATTTATTTGACGTCAAAGAGGTACCGCAGAAAGAAAAGGTAAAATAAAATACCAGTCCTTTAATAAGTCCAGTAAAAAAAACTTAAAATGAGTCAGCTTTTATTCTCTGGAGTGTTTCTATTTCCAAAAGACCATTTAGACCACCTGTCTCATTTCACAAACTTACTTAAATTTGGGAAAATCACAAAAATATTAGCTTTACTTAAAGCAATCATGTTCATGGCATTTATTATTCATAGCAATTGGGCCTTGAAATTACAATAGTATGTCCTCTAGTAAGAAGGCAGTTATGGCAAAGAAACATGCAAACATGACCTTTAAAGGGCCATAAGGAATGTCATGGAATCCTTGGTAGAAACTTTATACTTCTTACACTTAGAGAGGCTCTGAAGGCCTCACTCAGAGCCCATTAACTCTCATTTTGAAAACAAGTCTAATAACTTTGCTCATTTGGTTTCCAAACCCTCAGAAGATAAGATGTTATAAATTAAAATGCAGGAAGAGATTGCTATAATAGAGGCAAACTGAGAGCACCAGGAGTGATAGCTCACAGTGAAAGAGATCAAAAAGATAGTAACCTCAGACCACAAAATGCGAGATAATATATTTCCATAGGGGATATAATATTTGTAGTCTTGGCCTGCCAAGCACCTTTAACTCTCCTTTTTTGCTAACAGCACACACTAATTTTCTTTTGTGGATTCCATGCCTCCCCTGTTCTCCAACCACATGATCATGGCGACTGTCAGCCTCTCCTCCCCAGCCACCCTACCTCTGCTCCAGAGAAGAGGGCAGCCCTGGTCAGTGAGGGAACTCCTCCCATTTCATCAGCAGTTCCAGGCATGAGCATGCAGCCCATACCTGGCCAATGAGAGTCAGCTTGGGGTGCCTGCTGGAACCAATAGGGAAGAGCTCTCTTTCTGTTGGGGTGACTAAACCCAGACTTGAAAATCTGTGAAAATCATTCCGATACCCAGGAAAAGGCTTCCAAAGAATTAAGTGACCACAGAGCAAAGCAGATTTTCAATCTGAAAAGAGAGAGAGAAAACTCCAAATTAATAACCACATTGTTGGTACATCTGGAAGCAGCTACTTTTGGGTTAGGTGAGCCAATAAATTCCTTTTATTAACCCGGTTTGAGTTGGGTTTCTGTCACGTGCCACCAAATGAGTCCTCAATAAGAACCTTCGTGACTGACTTGGCCCTGAAGGGTCTCCTGGATAACAGCAGATGTTTAGAGAGGTGATTCTGCATCTTCAAGAAAACTGAAAGAAAAAATTATGACTATATTTTCTGTTTTAAAAGGCATTACACTCAGCTGTTCCTTTGGAATTCAGATATAAAAAAAAAGAAAGAAAAAAGGCATTACATTATATAGTACAATTTAGAAATTTTCTTTAAAGAGGATGTTAAACGAAAATTTTGTATTCAATAAAATGGGGTCAATTATTCAGAAAATTCATTTAGTGAAATGTTTTTTTTTTGTTTTTTTTTTTGGTTTTTTTTGAGACAGAGTCTCACTTTGTTGCCCAGGCAAGAGTGAGTGCCGTGGCGTCAGCCTAGCTCACAGCAACCTCAAACTCCTGGGCTTGAGTGATCCTTCTGCCTCAGCCTCCCGGGTAGCTGGGACTACAGGCATGCGCCACCATGCCCGGCTAATTTTTTATATATATATCAGTTGGCCAATTAATTTCTTTCTGTTTATAGTAGAGAGGGGGTCTCGCTCTTGCTCAGGCTGGTTTTGAACTCCTGGCCTTGAGCAATCCGCCCGCCTCGGCCTCCCAAGAGCTAGGATTACAGGCGTGAGCCACAGCGCCCGGCCTAGTGAAATGTTTTGTTTTTCAACAGTGCTGGTAAAATGAAATATTGTAGGTAATGTACATTAATTATTTTTTCATTGTATTCATGGCAGTCTTTCAAAATCCAAACACTAAACTACTTCTTTAATACTGGGGAAGGTTCAAGACAGCTATTAAGAATTTATCTGAGATGTGTGGTGTCTGGGATGGAAAAATTGAATAGTGGGGGAAACACAGAGAAACCAGATGATTTCTAACTAACTAGGAATCATAGATTAATGGAATAATAAAAGTTGGGAAGGCCTTTAATTTACCTAGTCCTATCTCTTTAATATTCAAATGAGAAAACTAAAGCCTAGAGAACCTAAATATTAATAGCTCTTCTAACACAACCAATATCAGCCAAGCTTCATAGTAAAACTGTATAAAAATTTGTGAAATAAGATAGTTCTTGAATCTATATCTTTGATTTCATGTCATTTCTACCAAATCACTACATATTTTTTACAGTTTCTGCTACAATATTTTGTTTAAAATCCCATTCAAATATGCCTCTATTCAACTGTAAGTTTGAAAACACATTCCAAAAGCAAATATGAGTATTTTTATTTTCTACCTTACATCTTTTTTTTTTTTTTTTAGACAGAGTCTCACTTTGTTGAGCAGGCTAGAGTGAGTGCCGTGGCATTAGCCTAGCTCACAGCAACCTCAATCTCCTGGGCTCAAGCGATCCTACTGCCTCAGCCTCCCGAATAGCTGGGACTACAGGCATGCACCACCACGCCCGGCTAATTGTTTCTATATATTTTTAGTTGGCCAATTAATTTCTTTCTATTTATAGTAGAGACGCGGGTCTCGCTCTTGCTCAGGCTGGTTTCAAACTCCTGACCTCCAGCGATCCGCCCGCCTTGGCCTCCCAGAGTGCTAGGATTACAGGCGTGAGCCACCGTGCCCGGCCTACCTTACATCATCTTTAGCTTTACTCTCTCCCATTATTGCAAATGTCATGGAGTTTATTATAAGAAAAGAATTATTAACCCATTTAGGTTGTATAACTAATTGGTGGAACCTGCAGCCTTCTGATATCAAGATTGTGCTTTTTTAACCACCAAAGGAGGCAAGAAAAGCTTCATCTTTCTCTACTGCACCCCTTTCAATAAAAGGATTTGTTCTGTAAAATTTGGATTCAGTCAAAAGGCTGCTCTTAAGGACCTAGAAGACCACATTTGGCCTTAAGGCCACAGGTTCCCACCCTTACCAGAAGGCATTAGTTCATGCCTATGCATAAAAAGATTTTTTCTGCTTCTCAATCAAGATAATGCATTGTTTATTTTTGTATTTTTAAGAGGGCATTAGTTTAATAGGACTCAAGAGGATACAAAGGAATGCTGCGATCCTTGCTGTGAAGTTCTCAATCTGATTTGGGGGTTGGGGTGCAGGGCGGAATGCAGTTGGAGTTACTGAGCCTAGGTTGGAGTGTGAAGGAACCCAGTCACGTGGCACAGGAACGAAGCACAGAGAGGCTGCGGGGAAGGTTGGGAATGGGGGACAGAGTGAGGGCCTGGACCACAGCAGGACAGATTGGATTTCAGGAAACTGCCTCTTTGGAGCTGGGTCTGGAAGGTGGATTTTCAAGGGGCTGCTTAAGCACCCCTCACTGGGTGGCGCAGCTCGGTCTGGCTGGTGAGATCTGGCTGGAGCAGCTGCACTCACAGGCACTGGGAATATGAGGTAAGGGTTTCTGGCAAGATCTGTGATGTGGGGCCCATCAGTGGCTCACACCTGTAATCCTAGCACTCTGGGAGGCCGAGAGGGGTGGATCGCTCGAGGTCAGGAGTTTGAGACCAGCCTGAGCAAGAGCAAGACCCCATCTCTACTAAAAAATAGAAACAAATTAATTGGCCAACTAAAAAAACACATAGAAAAAATTAGCCAGGCATGGTGGCAACATGCCTGTAGTCCCAGCTACTCAGGAGGTTGAGGCAGGAGGATCACTTGAGCCCAGGAGATTGAGGTTGCTGTGAGCTAGGCTGATGCCATGGCACTCACTCTAGCCCAGGCAACAGAGTAAGAATCTATCCCAGAAAAAAAAAAAAAAAAAGATCTGCAATGTGGCGGCAGAGTGGGGCCCCCTTCTCAGCTGCTCCTGCCTTACACGTGGCCAAGGACATGCAACCCCAACGTGGAAGGGTTGCCTCTGGAGTCCAGGATTTCCTGGGCACAGATTTTCTGCAGGGCCATGGCTGGGATGTCTTCCCTGGAGGCTTGGATGGAGCTCCGAGTCTAGGTGGCAGCTGGGCCAGTGTCCAAGATAATGCATTATTTAAACTGATACACAACCCCTATTAGAAAAAAAAGTGGCCTGTTTCAAACGGCAAAATTTTGTAGATCTCATGAATTCAGTAAATAACATGAATTTAATCAAAGTCCTATAGCTCAAACATAGATTTCAATAGAAGAGTGAGGTTTGACCTAAGTTAAGGGACTTGGCTGTTGTGACGGTTGTGAATGCCAACTCATAGGTTAGTAGGTCAGGTGTTTTCTAAAAATATATGCAAAGGCTGTAGACCATTCATGCTCCTCTTTAGCATATCCAACATTTAGAATTTCCTACAGGAGTGATTCACATAGTTAGAAACTATCTTGGTTTAATTTGAACTTTATTTACCAGTAGTAGGGACATATACCACCAAAATTATAGAGCTGTGAACTTGGAAAAATTTTCCTTAATCTTTCCTCCATACCTGAGAGAAAACTATACTTAACAGATCAAGAATATGAGCAGTCTTCTATATGTATGTGCATGTAAGTAAACAGGAAAAAAAGTCTGTTACCAGTAGTTGCCTTTGGGAAGGGAAATGGAATTGCAGTGGTTGGACTTTCATTTTTATTTTCTATATTGTTAAGATTGAGTAGGATTCTTATGCAATTTTAAATACATTTAAAAATAATCTATGCAATTCTTAAAGCTTTAGAGAAATGAAATGATCTAGGTTTCCTTGGTAATATTTTTCATAGATACATTGTAGTGATTTGATTTAAGGTAACTTAATTCTACCTGCCACAATTTAAGGTCATTTTTTGTTTTTGCAGTTTTTGAAAAAGATGGAGAACTGCCTAGAATCATCTACAGTAGTATTTTTTAAATATCTTTCATCAAATGAAAACTTATCCTTAAATCCTACCAATGGAACAGATTAAGGTGGAACTGCAAGAGCCCTGTCTATTCAACCCTGTTCCCGGAAACCACTTCTGTAAATACGCTTTCACATATAGGGAGATATTTGTTAAATCAGCCTTCTTTTTTCAGGTTATCTTACTAATCTAAATGTTTTTAAATGCTTTCTGTAATATTCCAGAGGAAATAAAAGAACTATCAATTTGCAAATATCCACAGGATCTTGGTCAAGTAAAATAGGCTTACTGCTTTCATTTCAATTACTGATAAAAGATCATTGCACAGATAAAGACTGGTAATTCTTGTTATTTTTTGTCTGTAATACAGACAAACTGACATTTAATGGGGTAATCTTATTAAGAATTTACACATACTGGCCGGGCGTGGTGGCTCACGCCTGTAATCCTAGCACTCTGGGAGGCCAAGGCGAGCGGATCACTCGAGGTCAGGAGTTCAAAACCAGCCTGAGCAAGAGCGAGACCCTGTCTCTACTAAAAATAGAAAGAAATTAATTGACCAACTAAAAATATATACGAAAAATTAGCCAGGCATGGTGGCACATACCTGTAGTCCCAGCTACTCGGGAGGCTGAGGCAGGAGGATTGCTTGAGCCCAGGAGATTGAGGTTGCTGTGAGCGAGGCTGACACCACGGCACTCACTCTAGCCTGGGCAACAAAGTGAGAAGACTCTGTCTCAAAAAAAAAAAAAAAAAAAGAATTTACACATACTGCTTGCTATGGTTTGAATGTTTGTGTTCCTCCAAAATCCCTATGTTAGAACTTAACCCCCAAGGTGATGGGATTAAGAGGTAGGGCCTTTAGGAAGTGATTAAGGCCACAGGTTCCCAACCCCTAAGAGAAGGCATTAGTTCACGCCTATACACAGAAACAACAGATTTTTTTCTATTTCTCAATCAAGATAATGCATTATTTAAACTGATACACAACTCTGGGAGGCCGAGATGGGCGGATTGCTCGAGGTCAGGAGTTCGAAACCAGCCTGAGCAAGAGCGAGCCCCGTCTCTACTAAAAATAGAAAGAAATTAATTGG